TCACAAACATGTCCTGTTGCGAGGTCAGTATGTATAGCTTCATAGTCTTTAACCTCATATTTTATTCTTGTTCTATTTTTTTTTTTTTTTGGTTGCCACGCTGATCATTAAAATTAGGTTTATTACAACCTTTTTTTTTTTTAATGGTAGCTCCGACTTATCAATAGACTTCTCCAAGAGTTTTTTTTTTTTTTTGGTATAACCCTCAAATCTCTGCTGACTTGATATATAAAGACTATATCTAAATACAAACAAGCATTTAGTTCAACTAGTAAGAGAGTTGTATTGTCACACCCTGAATGTCTAAAGTGTGACCGACTGGAATATAAGAAAACTCATATTTCATAAGCCCAAACCCATATAATATTTGACATATTAATTACCCAATCTCATCATATAATCATCATTTGTATTAAACAAGTACTAGTATTTACAAAATATTCAAGCTTGCTGTAAAAATTTCAATAAAGTCTCCCTTGTAAGTTGGGCTATTCGAAATCTCTACAACTTGCCAAAAGAATATCCAAGCAACATTCAAATTTCTACTCCGATACAGTGTGTGTGTCTATATATATATACAAACCCAAAATAATTTAATAAAGGATCCTGCCTATATGATTCATGGAGCAAATCTAGAACAAAACTAAAATACTTAAATATTTACATCAATCCACAATTTGAATAGAGCAACAAAATACTTCTTGTCTCAAGGAGTCTCACAAGGTCAAATGAAGAGCAAGTCCACTTCTACTATCTAAATACCAAAAATTCTTTCAATAAATAACATCCCCAAATAATATTAATAAATAAAAATGACAACCAAAAGCACATGCAATAAGAAACAAGTGACTAATCTAATTATTAATGGTATTAAAAAATAACAACACAATTTATCTTGATAATTAAGTAACAAAAATAGAAGAGAGAAAAATAAAAATAAAGTAAAAAAATCATAATTAACAAATTAAGGAATAGATTTAAATTTTTTTTATATATAAAACAATTCATAAAAATACAGTTCTTAAGGATAAAGGTATAACATGAAAACTTCTTTTCTATTAGGACCTAAACAGAATGAATAACGGGCGTGAACACACAGTCCATGAAAATAAGTAACATCCAGTGTGGCTAGAAGCCACGAAAAATGGGCATAAGCATAAAGCTCATGAATAACAGGCGTGAATTATATCCACAAAATTACACCCTCCGTTCCACGCGTGTTGGCCGACACACAAAGCTAACACCTCCAATATACCCTGCTAGCTAGGTATGCCATAGTGCGTCAAGGGCTAATGATACTGTCGTTAGAAACCAACGTTTTATATTTAGTCCCGTAAAACATTTATGGCATACATGGAGTCTATAAATCCTTATAGTTCAATTTGTTCTTTGATTTGTAAGATATAAACGATCTTTTTACTAATAATTTATCTGATCCATGCATGTATGATATATATATATATATATATTTAAAATAAAATACTATGAAAATGCCTACATGATTGAAGTTGAATAATAAACAAACTAGTTACATATAAATGAACTTAATCATAAAATACAATTTAAAAAAATCTATTCAGAACAATTAAAGTAATTAAATAAGATAAAAAAAAGATCATTGCTTCTATATATATTGGGGAACATTATTTACTTATCTAATATGCTACCAAGTTCCTAAAATTCTCTTCTCACAACTTCAATTAAGCTTTTCTTCTTCTAAGGTCCCTATTAAATATATTAAATCTTTAATAAATTTTTCTATAAATTGAATCAATTTTTCATATATCCTCTTTTATGCCTCCCAAATTCTACATTTTATTTTTAGCCAAACTAATTGTCTTGTTATAACATAATCCTAATTATATTTCTTAATCATCCTTTGTCAAGTATTAACATAAATATTATAACACGCACCCATATCATAATTTTCTTATTCAGCAATAAAATTCAAGTCTTTAATTTAATATTAGTTAAAGAAACAATTCTTCCTTTAATTGCACAGTTCTGAATCAAAAGGAAAAAAAAAAAAAGTTTAAGATTTAACATCTAAAACAAGAGAAATATCAATCTCGAGCACACACCAGCAGCACAAAGAAGAAAATGAAAAATTTAATTTGCTAACTTAGCACGGTGGAACAGGGGATGGAAGAAGACATCAACAGCACAGATAAGAAGAGAAAAAAATCATCAAGCAAACCTCCAATAACAGCAAACCAACTACTCCGCCTTCACGCACGGAAAGAAAGGAGGAGGAGATCATGGTTCCATTAAGCTTTTAGCAGCAGTATTTTTTTTTTTTTCTGACCGCACTCACTCACACCAGCAAACAAGAGAAGAAAAAAGAAGGAAGAGCAGAAGGAACAGAGGGCCCGGCGGAGATGAATGACGGACGAAGAAGAATGGAGAGTGAAGGTCGGTGGAAGCTTGAAGAACTCTCTTTCTCTCTCGCGCTCGTTCGCTCTGTTTTTGTCTCTCGTTCACCCTGTTCTGTCTCTTTTGGCCGGCAGAGAGGAAGAAGATTTAAGTAAAAAGATAACAGGGAAAATTACAGGAAAAGAACCAGGTTATTGATAAAATTGCAAAATAATACCCACCAGATTTTTATTTTTATTTTTATTATTACTACTATTATTATTATTAATTTGGGGTTATTACATGTATCATCTTAAGTAGATATCTCAAGTTTGAGTCTTGAAAATTCACCAATCTTTAATTATAGAGTTTCTATCCAACAAAGTCTCAATTCGGCTTCATCCAAATTAGTTTGAGTATATCTACATAGTGAAAAGGGAAAATGACAATTAATAACCTCATATGACTATTAATTACAATTAGGAATCTTGAATTATTGAAATCTCAATAATAGACAATAGTCCTTACTTGAAATTAAAAATATGAGTTTACAAAATTGCCTTCAAGTATTGAAATTAGTATTATGGTTTGGAATTATTGTTAATTATTTCAACTAGAAAAACCAAGATCCACACATAAGAACAGGATTAACAATAGTTCCAACTTATAATAACAATAGTCTCAACCCAAGATAGTAATTTCAATAATGTCTTTGCTTGATTTTCAAAGTAATTTACCAATATATTGACAAGTATAAAAATTCACAAGTGATTGGTTTCATATTCAAGTAATTTTGATAAATTTTCAAGTGACCACAATGGATTCACAAGTGCCTTTCAAAAGTTTCACAAGTAAATTTTAATTTTATATTGAAAAATAACATATTTCCAAATGTGAATGAGTTTTTCCCACTGAAATTAACAATAATTCCAACATATGATAGTAATTTCCTAGTAAGCACCATAATTTATTATTAAGATTTCAATAATTTAGGGTCTCTAATCATAATTAATGATATCATGGGATCCTTAATTATCATTTTCCCTAGTAAAAGGATCGCGCACATACATACATACATACATATAATTTATAGGTTGTGTGCGCGATGGATAGTAAGATTTACTAAGCTGTTTAAATATAATCAATAAAAAAATAATGATTAATATTTTAACATTATAATTAGCGCTTCAATACACCAATTAACTTCTTTTGGTCCCAAATCACAGAATTGGCTACCAAGGAGAGAAGTGAGTGCTTGGCGAATAGCAGGAAAAGTACATGCCTTGGACGAATGGAATGTTCATGAGTGTGGCTGTACCATTTTCGATATCACTCAAATATGGCATGCAAGTATTCGCCATGATTTCCGACCTTTGGAAATTTGAATTCTCTTTGCTTCTACTAGTTACAGATACAGTACAAGTTGCTTTAGAATGTTGTTAAACTTGTACTAAATTGTAATATTTGTTAAATAAGTGAAACAGAACTAGTGGTGAGGATAAGGGGAACTAAGGGCCATGACCCCCTAACTTTTAAATTTTATTCTAAATAAAATGTAGGAGTTGTATACATTTTTGACTCACTAAAATATTATGTATACTGTTTAGCTTATTAATTATAAATAACTCTTATCTTTTTTTGGTAAAGTTAATGGTGTGTAAGCATAACGATTAATTACAAGATATTTTTTCATTTCAAATTGCTAATTTAGTTGAAAATGATGAGATTCAAACAAAAAAAAAAGCTAAGTTAACACATTATAGTGGCATGGAGATAATAAATGATATGTTATTATTTCGATTCTTTATATAGTCTTTTTATATATAGTACAATTACTTCAATTTTTGAAGATATAGTTGTCACACAATTTATTTTTTCTCAATGAAGTGATGCTACATGTTTGTAATACATTATTAAGATTTGATGAAAGAAATTATGGTAATTACTAACAAATTTTATCAAGTATTGCAACAAAAATTTAAAGATACTTTGAATTTCTTGTTTGATATCTATCACAAAACTACTTATTCAAAAGTTAAAAGATCAAAATTAAAAAGATTTTCTAAAAAAAATTACTTATTTTTGTAACAGCATATTTTTAAAAGGAAAAACACTTACTATGCTGTATCTTTCTCTCAATAATGAAGGCTGGATTAAATTGCTTCTTAATAAATCTGATGCTATTAGTAACATCTCTTCTTGGCCTTCTGTGTTCGCAATATCCTGTTATGGATCAATAACTTCTCTTAGAATCATTTTGGAAGGGAACAAGCTTTGGAAATTTGAGATTCTATAACAAAAGTGTTTGCCTTTGTTCTTTCCACCACCTACTCATCGATCAAGATATTAGAAAGCTTTTGGACAACTTCAACAATTGTACTATTAAAAAATGTGGTCCACATGGCTTGTTTGTTCCCGCTGACTTTTCTTCTTTTAATATTTCTGATTTACCCCTGACATTGTAAACTTTAGTGAATATATGGATGAAAATGGACTTGGAATCAGGTCCAAGGATGTTTTCCCTATTTTTTCCTGAACTAACTAATTAAAAGATGGATAATGAGATTGGAGAAAAAAATGCTTTTCATTGGATGTATTTACATTTATTGATCAATTACAAAAGGATGTTTGAGTAGAACAAAAAAAAATGACAGAAAACAATGACATCGTGCTATCTATATTATGTGATCCCATCAAGTAGGATAGAAGTTATCATTGTCAATCACAAAAGGAAAAATAGTCCTTTGTACAATAGGAACCTTAATCTTAAAAAAAAAAAAAAGAATCTAAATAATTATGCGCAATGAATTGTTGGTCATCTCATCTGGGAGCACCTTTTGAGCTCTCCTTTTTGATAGATATCCTTCTTAGACAAACTAACAATACCTGATTGTTCCTCAACCTTTTTTATGAGAAGCTTCAGTAATGGAACCTTTGATAGAGTTCTACAAGAACCCACCATGATCAGCTTTTCTGTGCACATTTAGAAGCTTAATCTCAAAAGACAAGCCACATGCATAAAATAAATATACAGTTTATAAAGAAGTCTAGTGCATGCACGACAAAGTTGCACTCTTAGAAAAGTAAATAAAAACATATTTGAATAATAGAATTAGAATTTTTTTTTCCAGATCAAAAATTTGGCAAAAAAAAAAATTCCATATAGTGAAGGTCCACACTAAAACTTACAAAGAAGACTTGTACATCAAACTATTTCATTGTCCGTGCCTCTTTTGGATATGTACAATTTTCAACATACAGTGTCTAAAGGGTCCAGCGTAGTGTATTCAAGTACTTGAACAAAATTTAAAACTAAAACAACCATAAAAAAATCTTAAGAAATTGGTTCAAAATGCACCACAAAAAATTTTCGGAGATAAAATGATTAACTTTTAAAAGTCCATACAAATCTTTTTAGCCAATTTTTTTGTCTAATTGTAGGTGAGGTGTTACAGCAAAAAGCATAAAATACCTTGCCACGTGTGAGAGCCACATTTATCCTGTGCCAGTCTCCAAGCAAAGAAGTACAGCTTGATGGATTTTCACTGGACCTCACAAAAGATACTATTATGCAATCTTTATCTCTACCCTGGAGAAGAGGAGAAAACCAGATCAATGACACTTGCATTTTCTACAACAAAATATTTTAAAAAGAAAAGGCAGAAACAACTCAGTGACGCCTGACATAAGGAAAATGCTAAATTGTGAGCCCCTTTGTTTAAACTTAATAAAAACAAGTGATTTTAATTAAGCTACATGAGGGAGTCATTGGGAGAATTTTAAATTGAGAGCCCATTTATTTAAACCCATTATGTTTAACTCACGGTTCTTCCAAAAACTTCCTCTTGTAGCTTAATCAAAATCACTTTTTGTTTGTTAATATTAAACAAACCTGCCCTGAATTACACAGGAGAATTAATTGTACAACAGTAGAGTAATGCATGCTAGGCCTCAACATATGCCAAAGACGGACCTGGTATTTGTCAATGGTATGAATCTCCAACGATGTCATGCAAGCAGCTTGACGGATGAGGTTTGCCTGGGAATTGTAGGGAGTAATAATGCCAACATGTTCTTCTCCAATTCCATTTTTTATTAGTGCCTTAGCTATCTACATTACAAACAGGGGGAAAAAATTTATAGCAAGTCAGATGGCTTGAATTATGAAACAAATTGCGGCCAAAAAAGGAGTAGATTTATCGTCTTGAGAGACATACCTCAACAATTATGTGAGCTTCAACAGGGTTATTTATAGCCTTCTGTTCTCTTGCCTCCATAGCGGGCAATTTATCTAAGTTGGAATTAAATTAAATTTCCGTTAATTATTCTAAAATGACAATGAGCATACATGATTAAAGAAGAAACATCATCTTTACATACCAGTATCAATAAATATCACTGGCCTGCATGGATTCAAAACCTGTATAATACAACATAAAAAAAAAAAAAGGAAAAGTTCACATCCTTGTAAATATAGTCAATTGTGAAGGAAAAATCAGCTTTTAGAGAAAATTGTTTCGGTGACTTTAAGTTTACACAAATCTAAATTTTTTCTAACCCCTGTGAAAGGCAACAAATATAAAACAACGCTTCCTGCAATTTGAAGATTGAATATCACCAATATTCTATATGGAGTCACTGGCTTGCTTAGCCAAGTCCCATTTGTGTACTTATAATTGATAACTTGGAAGGATGTATAAAATTTCAGATAGTACAATCAAATCCAACTAGTAAACATGCTCATTGTAATCTAAATGATACACACTTCATTCTAGCAGTCCCTAAGGTTTGCTTAATATCAAGCTTCACCGTCACAAAGAAACACAATATAACAAGAAATGCCAAACAAAAGCCTACTTCAGAGTTGAGTCAAAGCCAATCCATGGAGTCTCCAATCGCTGTTTAATTTTCCATGCGAACCCTTCATTTTAGGAAAATATATTGTTGCATTCACTTCAGCACCCTACTATCATTAGTTTCTTACCAGCATTGGCCAGTTTATGCTGTTTTAGATAAGCATCAAACTACCAGAATTTCAGTCAATATTATGTGCCTCACTATTGACAAGTGAGGACGAGAACTATGTAGCAAGGCAACTCTTTAACGAATTTCAAGAGTTTGCATTTGCATCCACGGAACCCGTACACATGCAAAAACAATTGACCGCCAAAAAGAAAATGAGGCAAAAACTCTTGAAGACGGTCAGTGTTGGAAAAAAGAAAGGTAAAATCAATGATACAAAAGAAAGATCGTATGGAAAGAAAATTAAAAATAACTTCCATCAATGAGAAGCTTGTTGAATAAATGAAATCCTGTGACAAATGTAAATCCATCAAAATTAAAACAATAAGAACCTGGAAGATAGTAGCCTTACATTTTTTAGCCAAGGCAAGGCACATTTTAAGGTAGAAAACGCAAGTTTTGCATTGGCAATCTCAGTGGAACCGCACCTTAACCTATCACCATATATCAAGGCATTTGACAGGTCCATGATGCCCTGACACATACGGTACTGTATTTGTTTCAAATTAGTAAATAATTACATAGATAATGGAAGTAAAAGAAACAAATGTTTTTAAAATCATAAAAATACCTGACTCTGTAGTGCTGAAATTGCTTGTGGATGTGCTTCTGAGAGCCTACAAAATAAACTTATCCCCAGACCATTCTCTCGAGCCTCTGCACTCTAGGAATTATTTGACACAAATTTAAAAAGGTTACCACAGTTTTATACCAAAAGACATTAATAATAATACAAGGCCAATACCTGGACGAGCGGAGGAAGTTGATAGTGATCACCCACAAGTACAAACATTGAGGAAAACATGAGAGGGCCCAAGGACACCTGACAAAGCAACAATTTGCAGCAAATTTATATCCAATTGTTTAATTGTTTTAACTGAACATCATCTTATTGGGAACCAGTTTGTCACTGAAACTACAGAAGCACAATTTCAATGAAGAACAGAAGCAAGCATGAAAAGTTAGTGTTGCATGGACAAATGCATACACATGTAATCTAACACAAGCACGTAAACAGTGTACGAAACAATATTTCATCTTCAGGCTATGTTATGGACCCATTTATCCCCTCATCCCAGGTATCTCACCCAAGTAAAAGCAGGATCTAGTCCCTGATGCCCGGTAAATTCAGGGAAGCTTAAGAACTGTTCATGGATGAAGAGGAAATAAAGAATACCCCATTTTTAACAGCTACATCAAACTGGCTTGCCATTTTGGTAAATTGTTTCAAGATGAATACATGTGTTCAGGGACAGAAAGGACACGAATCAGTTTCAGGGGCATAAAATATTTCTACTGAGTTTAAAGGTCCTACAGGATCCATTTCTGTTCATGGGTTCATCTGAACAAAAATTTTAAAACTGTAGTTGTACATAGAGTACATGCCACTGACAAGTATCTCAGGTACTTCAAAAATATAAGAAAGTAACATGTAACATACTGGTAGAGTTGTCTGCCCAGCTTCGTCCATAACGCATACATCAAAAGTCCTGTTGGCAAGCAAGGGACTGGTGATGCCCAGACATGTAACTGCAACTACTTTAACTTGTTCTAACCTTACTTTGATCTCATCAACATTTTGTACATTTGTTGCTGTCAATTGTGACAATACTAAGTAAAACTACTACACCAAATCATGAGGAAGAGTAAAAACAACTAATCAGCCAACCTGAAAGGCAGTGTCCTCTAACCTCCTCATGCACAGCTTCATGTCTTCCAATACGGACAAAATCAATTCCCTACAATTTAAGTTCCACCATGCTATGAATGATTACAAGGAACCACACTGTAATATAGTGAATTGGATAGTTTTAGAATATAATGCAGAGGGATGAGCATTAGTGTTAGAATAGTGAGTCTAGCAAGTAATCAACAAACTTATTTAACGACCCAAGGATTTTTAAAAAATAAAATTCATCTAGCACAGCATAAATGAATGTATAATTTCAACATGTGGGCTTATGCTTAGCCTGGTTTCAAACCCAAGCAAATGAAGGAGTGTATTAGAGATATAGTATTTAAACTCATGATCGCATTCTAACAAGATCACAAGCTTTAAGAAGCTACGATAAAATGAAAGCACAGATACCTGAGCTTTTAATTTGATAAGTAAATTATCTACAGCTGAGTTTGTATAAGCTGTCAGCAAAATAGTTGTGCCTCTGATTAATAATGCTTTCACAGCATGAACCATAGTTGATGTCTTTCCTGTTCCGGGCATTCCTAATATGAGTGCGTAGTCCTTTGCAGTAAGAATCTGATAATTAGTAGCAGAGTAGAGTCACAAAGAAAGGTCAATTCTTTGTCAAACTGCAAAAAAGACTTGATGAATAAATTCAGGGCATGAATGAAGGAAATTCAGATTCAATTGGAACCTTGAGGATTGATCTACGCTGATCATCATTCAAACTCTTCTCTGACCACACATATGATATTGCTGGGTCCTGACTGAGCACAGATCCACTGTCAAATTTAGGAGCCTGCGGGCAACACACCAGCAGGAGGACAGAATAAGTAGCTAGTAAAGCTAAAGTTGGGAGATTGTACATGATAGCAGTAACTAACCTCAAGATCAACAATCATTTTCCTCAGATGAGTACTTCGAGCATTTTGCAGAAAAAGCTGTACTAGATTAAACCTTTAGGGGGGAGGAGTCACAAATGAATCATACAAGTATATTAATTTGAATACTGGCACACGTCTTGAAAATTGAGATTTGAATAAAGCAATAACCAGAGAAGCACCTCATAATAGCAAATGAAGTCACACCTTCATCCTTATCAATTCTCCAAACCTGTTTATAGAGATCTTGGCTAGTGGAGGTGCTTCCAGGAATCCGCAGGCGCTTTGAAAAGGAAACCTAGAAGATTTAAATAAACAAACAATCGTCATGTTGGTAAGACATAACTGTATCAGCAAGGATTTTGCTTCTTCTAATCCTTGCAATGCTTTAATAAAAGAGCAAAGGAAGTAAATGACAAATGCAAAAGCGCAAGAGGATAAATGATAAAAATCAAACAGACAAAAGTAATATACTCACAGAAACATGGGCATGACTAATATCTGTAATCACCCCACTGGCAATAGCTTGACGGCTAGATTCAGTGCTCAATATCTAAAATGTTAAACAGAATAGACAAATAATCAATTAACAGCATGGGACAATTAGTGAAAAATAATAATATGCATAATCCTTTGCAAAATAAGTTAATATACTCATTTTTTTTCTGGGAATTAAACAATAATCTCGTACTAGCTAAACCATCAATGACAGACTTGTAGCCAATCAAAATACAACCTGGGGTAAAAGAAAAAGCATAATGACATGAAACCATGGGCTAAAAGCAGAAAGAGGGACAAATGATTTCCAGGCTTCTGTTTGAGCTTGGATTTGATTATACTTCACTGCTTCATGCATGTTCAATGTTATTTTTCTTGAAATAAAGATGTGAGTCTCATCAAATCATCAAAAAATAATAATAACGATAGAGACATATCTCAATTGTAGCTGAAAATCACAAAAATAATACCAGCATTCACGTCAAATATTAATCTGTCTGCAATCACAAGCTTTTGTTTTGTGTGGGGAAAAAAAATTGGATACCATATATCTCATTCAATAGATTAAAAGAAAGAGGAAATAACTCGCACCACATAGTCTCCACTTCTTAGTTTCAGATCTAAATAATTTGCTGTAGCTTTAGAAGGATCGCCATCTTCAGATAGGGAAGATGGACCACATCGTACAAAACGATAAATGAAACAATTATCTTTAAGAGATTTCTGATGTGGAATATTATTTGAAGCATCAAGGATGACAGAAGAAAGGCCAGTACTGTTCTGACTTTTAAAAGCATGTGATCGCCACATCTCTTTCTTTACAAACTGCAAAAGTGGAGTGAGAAATAGACATAAAGAACTAATATAAAGAACACTGCTAACATAAACATAGAAGAGACCTCAGGGGAAAGTATAAAGAACACTGCCTTAAAAGTTATACCTCAGTCTCTTTTGCTTCTAAGTCAATCAGCCAATCCCAATGGCAGAGGAACTTACAATAAGTAGATGAAAGGTGATTAGTATGTGAATCAAACACATCTCCCAATCCACTACTCATTGCACTTCCTCCTTGTACCTTAAGCATTTCAAGATATTACACCAGAAGATGAACAAATAAGCACATTAACAAGACAAAAGGCTAACACAAGATATGGTATAAGATCATGAAAAGCTTGGAATAAAAACAGTGTCACAAGATCAGAATATTGAAACTCAACACAAGCCATTTTGATTTTATTGGAATAGTATTTATTCGTATCTTTTTTTATTTAGCTACTCTATGGACTATAGACATCCACATCAGCTCTATCATAACTAACTAGCCTAAATCTATTTGCAATGTTTAGGCCATTGGCACTGGTCAGACCACGGTCAAACCATTCATGAATAAATTAATATATTTTAAATAATATGCTTATAATAAAAGAAATGATCTCCATAATTATAAAAACGAACAATCCATAATCTTCATTCAAAATGTATATATACTTATTTTATAACTAAAATTAAACTAAATAAGTTTACAACACAAGATATCTAACTTGTATATAGTTATTTTATAATTTATAATTTTAGAATATATACACAATTTTTTATCTAGTTGCACCCATTATTCTTCCTTTCACACAGTTTATTAAGTATAGATATGCAAAAATCATAGCTTAGAAATATGGATCAAACTCGTTAAATATATATATAATATATATATATGAGAATGGTTTGACCAGTTGACCAACTGGTTTTACGAGTCTTGATGAGTTATTCCTTCCCTGAGTTTTCCCTTTACATCAGATCGGAGAAGTACCAGTCAAACCAACCAATTCAGTCTGATTCTCTTAACATTGCTATCACAAATAAATGTAATTCTAGCCTCCCTTTAAAAGGGTTTCAAACACATTATCTGTTTCTTTTATTCTTTGAATTCCATTGCAAGCTACTTTATTTGCCGAATAAGGCTCTAAGTTGCAGAGCATGATAGATCTCAGCCCTGGTGAACCAAGGCACCCACAGAGTTTGATGCCAGCTTCAGTGAAGGAAAGGAAACAGTCAAATTACTTCCAAAGTCAAAACTCATGAAAACAATGACTGCAAAGAAGAATATGACAAACCGCGTCTACTGACTCATCAATATAGGCCTCCTGAACTCCCGCCATGTGCATGGCATGGCATGCATGAACTGTTGCAACTAACTTGAACACCACAAAAGCCTTCTAAATATCCTTCCTCAAGCCTTTGATGTAGCAGTTAATAACCATGTTCTCTAAATATCTAGTTCCTTTACAAGCTCATCAAGCTTCCCTAATAATCCTAAACTGATCCATCTTATTGCATTTCATGATTTCAAACCATCGATTCACATCAAAAATCGAGCCTCAAGGTGCCTGATATATTCAACCCAAGTAGGTTCAACAGATCAATGCTTCAAAGAATTGATGGGCCACTTCAACACTATCCTTTCTAAATGAATGCTCGGGTACTTAATTCAGCAGGCAAGAGGTGTATTATCCATGTCAAAGTACTGAAAGCACAGATAGGAAAAGCCACAAAAGCCTGTTCAGTCAAACTTCAAATCTCAAATGACGGTGCTTTGTTGATGGTGTATCTATGTTCTAACTTCTGTACAAACCATTAAAGGAGCCAGCCTGAAATAATGGAGTTGCAGATCCTTGATTGTTTCTGAATGTGTGGTCAATTTATCCACCATGACCATTCTTACTATCACCGACAAAGCAATCTTCGATGCCACCACTACCATTGTTGTTATGATGCAATTGATGACTTGCTTCCGCTCAGTGATGTCCACCAAATTCTGGTCTAACTTTAATAGAGATATTAAAAGGGCTACGCCCAACTATGATTGAGG